AATATCCAGTGTGGAATACCCTAACGGACATTTGCAAAATGCTATTTGTAAAATGGCCACATGGAGATAACATGTTGAATGGCTAATCTTGAGTCAAGATCTAACCACCCCAAGGGAGAAATAGGAAACCCCCTTGCACTAAAAGTCATGGTGGACCACATTGTATCAGTTCTACCAACATCCCCTATGCTGCAAATATGATATTTCAAGATCAATAGGTAAGTTAAAGGAAAGGACAATCTGTGAAAGGTCATGAAATCTTATAGGAAACTTGACACCAATTTTTTACTTTTGGAACATTGATGCGAATAGTAGGGAAAGAAGAGACTATTGGCAATCGAACTAACAGAATAATGGCAACCGACGGCAAAACTTGATAGTCATACCCTCATAAAAGAGAAAATAACTTATGCAGCATTTACAATGTAAAGCTTGACGTAAGAAAAAAAAATTTCAAATCTTTAAGGAACACTATAAAGCATAAGGCATTTGTTTCAATCCTAAGTAATCGGTGTGATTCAGGCATATCTCAATTCATTCACTTCTACAGAACAGAAAGCAGGCATCGAGCCGAAATTAAAGTTATTTTGTTCTTCCATTTAAAGAGGAGAAGTCTGCTTAAGAGATTTCCAAAGCACCAGAATGGAAAGCACGCTTGAAATGATCTTCCGTTTAGTCTAATCTAGAAGGAAAGACAATCAGAGAAAATTAAATAACAGGAAGAGAATACAAATTCCAATAGTTTCCATTGACAGGCTACAACAACCTTACCTGGCAGATCAAATCTCCAACGAAAGTCAGAAGTGCAGATGTCACAGCTTTCGTTGCCACAGGATATTTTTCAAGAAGATTCAAGTACCTAAAACAATGTAAGGGTCAAGCTGGAATGAAGAAAGAGGATCATGTCTTGAATAATAGCTTGCATCATGGTGGCTCTAAAATCATATCACCCCAGTGCTTCTTGTTTCTAAAATCATCCCCTCTGTTACATAATTCTCGACCAGAACAACAGGCTAACATCATGGTGACACACACAAAAAATCTATTGATAAAAACAGTAGTATTACCGATTTTCCTGAAGAAAAACCAAAAAAAAAAAAAA